GAAGCAGAGTAGGAATGAAAGTACAAAAATCCAGCACTCCAGATCCCACTGGCTCATGCATCTTAAAGTTTATTGGTTGTGAACTGGCCTGTTCAATTACATGAAGACCTCAGGAGAAACTCACAATCTTCAGTAAATGTAAGGTATTTCAATTTATGTAAAGGCCATTGCAATATTTTTTGTTATGATAATGGCAAACATGGACTATTGATATTCAATGTCCATCACCTGATTTCCATTACCTGAGAACTTCATGGACTAAAATTTGCAGTTTAAAGGATTAGATTAATTATTGGTAAGACATGGATTCAAGTCACACGACAGCAAGTGGGGAACTTAAATTCAGTTAAGTAAATAGTGACATTAGTAATGATGATCACAAGCTTCTGGGTTGTTGTAAAACCTCATCTCGTTCACGGATGTACTTTAAAAAAAAAATGGACTAAAACCAAAATGTTTTTTTTTAAAAGTAAGGTCAAATACTATCTAAAACAATGCCATGATCACATGACCAGAGATTGAAGCAAGCTTTATGAAGGGTCTACTAAAATCATCAGCACTGAAACCAGACACTAAACACAGTGTCAAGAAATTTGCATCATGCTAAATTCACATGTGTAATAATTTCCCTTATTGGGAGATGAAGGGCTCATCTGCCAGATTGGTTAGAAAGCAAAATAATGAGCAGACATGGGAATATACAAATGAACCTTTATCATTGCTGGCTGGGGTAGCAATGGAGAAGGAAAAATGGATTTGTAAGCAAGAACCCTAAAGACTCACTCACTTTCCCATCCCCTCTGCCTGTTTTTCATCAAACCCAATCAAAATCAAAACTCAGTGCCCAGTGCAAAGCAACTTGGAATATCGACCATTCATTGCAAACACAAGATCTACCATATTCACTATCGACTGAAGCAGCAAGATCAGAGCTAAACAGTCAGGACTCAATTAAAAAATCTAAACCTCGAGGACTCTGGGAATCTTTAAACACAATTACCTTCCCATCTATCTAGAACCTTCCTTCCACCCCATCAACCAGCTTTTAAAGTTCACCCAACAGTTTAGAGTCACATAGCAATGTTTCTCAAGGATTAGGAGATTTTTTTTAAAAATCCTCTTTCTTTCATTAAAGACAACCTTGTAGTTATTATCTAGTTAATTATGTTTTAACACAAGTATGGGTAATTATGTACTAAAAAATTGATTTGACCAACCATGAGGGTCTCAATAAGACAGCATTGTCGTTATCGGCTTTGTTTTAAAAATACTAAATTCCACTACCTGTAACGCCAAAATCAAATATATAATTTCCATGGATATCCTTGATCAAATAAATTTAGCTACTCCATAACACATTTGCTCTGTGAATGCTTTAAAGTTAATTGTTCCTAATTTCAATCAGGACAGTGACATAATTATTGGTCAAATCACAGGGGTGAGACAGACAGCATGGCAGAAGTGAAAAAATCAGCTAGTATACAGAAACAGTCCATTTCCACAAAGAAAAATAAAGCAATTGAAAAGATAATTCCTGCTTCTCCACGGTGACAGGGCATGTGACTCCTGCTGCTTGAGTGTCTACCGCTGGGTCCAGAAAAGATAGGCTACAAAATGTCTATCCATCTGAATAGTTTCAGAATGGAGTCTTGAAAGGTTTTTTTTTGGCTAAATAAAAATCACCAAAATTTTCTGCAGGACTCTCCCACAACATTCCAAATTGACTATGCTCTCTGTTTCCCCCTTTCCCATCAACATCTAATGGTTGCCTACACTACACCTATGTTAGCACATAATCACTGTTGTTAAGATTATTCAATTCCATTTGGACTCTGCATAGTGTAATGAAATCAGGTGTAGCTGCAGATACATTGACATTCTTGATTTACCACCGTTAATTGAGCAGAATGATTGAAAATGACATCTTCAATTTGATGCTAGTCCCTTCGAAGGTGGGATCCTTCACCTCATTTCAAAACTGAACAACAACAAAATGGGCAGGAGTTTATGGAACATATCATTAGACAGTGCTGCGGGGAAAATCTGAATCGTTGATCTGTAAATATTTCAGTGAATAACTATTTACAACTTTAGAAAATGCAATAGCTCATTAAAAGGCAGATGAAATTCATTTTCTGGTGCCTTTCTGAACATTTTAGGTTGTAGACTTGCTCAGCGAACTGGTGTTTGATTTCAGATGTTTCGTTGCCCTGCTAAGGTAATATCGTCGATGCGCCTCCGGTGAAGCTGTGGTGTTCTGTCCCGCTTGTTATTTATATGTCTCAGTTTGCTGGGGTGGTTGGCATCACTTCCGGTTCTGTTTTTCAGTGGTTTGTATACTGGGTGCAGTTCAATGTGTTTGTTGATGGAGTTCCAGTTGGAATGCCAGGCCTCCAGGAATTCCTTGGCATGTCCCTATTTGGCTTGTGCTATTATGGATGTGTTGTCCCAGTCGAATTAATGTCCTTCTTTGTGTGTACTGCGACCAGTGAGAATTGGTCATGTGTCTTGGTGGCTAGTTGGTGTTCGTGTATCCTTATTGTCAGTTTTCTTCCAGTTTGGCCTATTTAATGTTTCTCAGTCCTTGCATGGTATCCTGTATATTGCATTAGTTTTATTGGTTGTGGGTATGAGATCCTTTCCATTTGTCAGTAGCTGTCGCAAGGTGGTTATTGGTTTGTAGACCACCCTGGTACCTTGGGTCTGAGTAATCTTGTGGTCATCTCGGATAGGTCTCTGATGTACAGTAGGGCGACTAGTGTGTCTGGTCGTGGTGTGTCTTCTTCTTGTGGCCTGTCGCGGAGGTAACGGCGGATTATGCTTTATGGGTATCCATTCCTTTTAAAAACTCTGTATAAAAGTGCTCTTGTTCTGCTTTGTGCAATTCTGTTGTTGTTGCAGTGTGCGTTGGCTCGTTTGAATAATGTCCTATGCAGCTCAGTTTGTGTGTGTTGGGGTCGTTGGCGGTGTAATTAAGTATCTGGTTTGTATGTGTGGTCTTTCTGTATATGCTAGTCTGGAGTTCCCCGTTGTTCTGGTGTTCAACCCTTATGTCTAGGAAGGGTAGTCAGTTATTGTTCTTCTCTTCTTTTGTGAATCTTATTCCGGTGAGAATGTTGTTATTGTGTCGGTGAGTTTCTTCTAGTCTTGTGCGTTTGATAATCAAAAAGGTGTCATCTACATAGCAGACCCAGAGTTTGGGTTGTATAGTGGGGAAGCACTGTTCGTTCTAACCTTTGCATTACTGCTTCTGCAATCAGTTCTGATATTGGGGATCCCATTGGTGTTCTGTTGATGTGTTTGAATATATAGTTGTTGAAGGTGAAGTGGGTTGTGAGGCACAGATCCAGCAGTTTCAGGGTACTGTCCTTGATGCTGTTGCTGTCGTGGGATGCCTGCCTTCCTGATTTGTCCAGCGGTGTGGCAATTGTCTCTTTGGCTAGGTCAATGTTTATGGATGTAAACAGTGCTGTTACGTCGAAGGATATCATAATCTTGTCCTCTTCTATTCTGGTGTCCTTAATGATGCTGAGGAATTCTTGGGAGGAGTGGATGGAACAGGTAGCGTTGTCAACTAAGTATTTCAGTTTCCATTGTAGTTCTTCGGCTAGTCTATATGTTGGTGCGTCTGGTAGTGAGACAATGGGTCTGAAAGGGACCGCTGGCTTGTGTACCTTAGGGAGTCCATAGGAGCGGTGTGTGTTGAATCCCTCTGGCCTCATTTTTTTGGTAGTCTGTTTTGCTGATATCTCCCAAGTTGTGTAATTTCTTCAGGGTTGTTGTAATCTGGTTCTCTAACTGTAGTGTTGGGTCTATTGCTATGTGTTGGTAGGTGTCAATATCTACTAGTAGTGTGTTAGAGTCCAATACATTGAGAAAGCTATTAAGGATTAGTATCACGCGTCCTTTGTCCACCGGTAAGATTGTGATGTTTCTGTCTTTGAGTCTTTTCAAGGCTTTCTTCTCGTGTTGAGAGCGTGTTCTACCTACCTTTTCTGCTCAGTGTTGGGACTATTGTCTGTCTGATAGTCTGTTTTATTTCCTCAGAGTCTACTCCAGTGCAGCCGGGAAATCAGTTTTTTTGGCGTCGCTGTAGTTTTAACTCAGTCCGCGTACTAGGACGGTCTTCTGTGTCTGTAAGTGGTCAGTCGGAGATGTTCTTGATTCATGTTTCCGTGTTGTCAGTGTCATTGTTGTGGGCGAGTTTGGATAGTTTTTCTTGTAGGGCTGTTCTTTTTTGTTCTGGTCTTTTGTTCTTGTATGGTGATGGCTTGTTCCAGTGTGGTTGTCCATTCTTGGTCGGTTGCGTTGGAGTTCAAAGTTTTTTGGCAAGTAATTTCCCGCTCATATTTGTGGAGGTGGTTGTAACCATCGTTAATCGTAACCCTTATCATTCTGCACCCGTTCTGTGCAACTGTTCTCCGTGCCTGTGGATTGTTGATAGGTAGTTTATATTTTAAGCTTTGTGGTAGTACCTGCTTTGGAGGCATTCATGCAGCAAGTACAGTTGTTCGCAGGTCGCACTCCGGCAGATGGCATTTGTCTCCCATCTGCGGCCAGTTTGAGGGTATTGCGCACGAACAAAGGACACAAATTCTACTGGGACAACACATCCGTAATAGCATGAGCCAAACAGACATGCCAGGGAATTCTTGGAGGCCTGGCATTCTAACCAGAACTCCAACAAACACATTGAACTGGACCCGACATACAAACCACTGAAAAACAGAACCGGAAGTAATGCCAACCACCCCAGCAAACCAAGGCATATAAACAACAAGCAGGACAAAACAACAATGCTTCACCAGAGACACACTGGCACAATGTTACCTAGCAGGAATACAAAACATGTGCAGTCAAATGAACCGGCTTGGCGAGCAAGTCTACAACCTCATCCACAATCCGAATGACAAATCTTCCCAAAAACTTTAAAAGGAACATTTTGATTTCAATTTTCGGGATCAAAAATCAGACATTACAAACTTGTCAGCACACAAAAATGACAAAGAATATCAATTTTATTGCAAAATATTTCCCCAAATAAATGTATACAGAAGCAAACATTTAAATTTAGATTTCACAGAACTGCTACTCTTTAAATAGTAATTCTATGAAATAAAACAAACCATATTTGACACCAAAAGCAACACTTCTAAACGTGAATTTATATTTCTTGATCAAAGTTGCTGAAAATTACATTACCTATGAAAATACACCTATTATTTTTTAACTACTGTATAATAGGTCAAATGATAAACAGTGCAGAAAAAAAGGTTTTTCAATGTCTGTACAAAAAGCCTAGTATTTACCTGAATGTCACTCCAAGTATCATTACCAAGTTCACAATCCACCATGGATTAATCATCTTGGTACACAAGTACAACCTACTGTACGTGTTATCAAGAAAATATCCCTCAGTGACCTCTCCTTGAGCTGTACCCAAACTAAGGATTCAGGAGAGGTGCAAATGAGCAAAGTACTACAGTAAGCAAATCAGTGGCGATGGTATATTGCCTTACTTTTTTGCAAGTTTGCTACATAATTCCTAAGGTCCCAGAGTATTATTTAAGGGTATTTACTATCCCAAAGTAATTTCAAAGTGAAAAAGGTAACAGCATTTTCAATTTCTAACACTTGAAGAATATAGCTCAAAAATAATAAAACACAGAGCAAGTTTTGTCAAAAATGGTCTTGGCAAACTTAAATTTTCCTAAATTCTAAAGTGCATTGCAGTAGAAGGAGATTGTACAATATTTTGAGTCTTAATATTATTCATCCTCATACATGTAATTAGAATATGGAACAATTGCTTGTATCAAAGCCCAATTAAAAGGACCTGCCATATATTACTTGTGGGCAGTAAACACATCATTAAGTAGCTGCACAATTAATCGATGGTATAGCTAAATCCACACTTTTGAACTAAACTGCTCAGAGGATTTTTTTTTGCATTGTCAGAAGAAATATTCCTTTAGATTAACACAATTCACTGTTAAACAAATACATTGCTTTATGTCTTATTTATCATTTGGTTGCACATGCATGACTTACGAAGAGAAGTGATAATAAAAGTAAAAATTGCTAATTGCTGTAGCAAATCTGATTATTCGAGTTATATTAAATGGCACTCGCCACTTAAATGTTTAAAACCTTTATGTAACTTTAAAAATAACCTACTTTTCATCTTCTCATAGAAAATGTGATATCATTTGCATCAAAAAGTTATTATGCTATCAGAAATCTCAAGATTAATGTGTATATCTGAAGGAGTATTCTGCTTTAATCTTCAAACGTGAACTGATATGATTAATTAAAAGTAGTCAAGTTAAACCAATTTAATCATACATTTACTATTTGAAACCTGCTTTCTTTATATTCAAGCAAATATCATTTTTGGAGTGATTATTTGAGAAAAATGCTACATTACATTTGAGATTTTGAAAAGCCAGTGAATATAGATACCTTTAGATTATTTTTGTTCAGTGCTATTTTTGTCTATAGAAGGTTAGGTACGCTTTCAAAGATTCTGGTAGTGGCAGACTCAGAATTCTCTCTCGAAGTAAATTTGGGGAAGCTTCTTCCTGTTTGAGGTCTTCATTCATTTCTTCTTCTTTATTTTCTTCCATTTTGTCATCCTCATCACTGTCAAATGGCTGAGGTATCAATTGATTGCCTACAAATACATAGGTATCAATTTTACGCCTACGAAGCTTCTTGCGTTTTCGTTTTGGTGCAGCCTTCTGAGGAATGCCTTTGGCCTGAATCTCTTGATTTATCAAGTTCCTAAGATTGCGGCGAATGTAAATTCTTGCCAAGTCCTGGAGGCATCGTACAGTCACTGGTGCTGTAGAAAAGGAAGAAAAAGCTTTCTTATTTCATCACTATATTTTATTATTCGCCTATGGTGTTGCAAATAGCAAGGGAAGGCTATGTATAATCTTCAGCCGAAGTGGGGCTATTCTGTTCAATCTTCTGACCTGCCAACTGTATTTGCACAAACCTGCTTTCTCTTTTAGTCGGATACTATTGTTAGCCTTTCTAGCTAACCATGGAAGATGAATCCAATCCTCGTAATTTTTCTTACTCACTGAAATTTGCCTATTCTGCAAATTGTAAAACATTAACTTATCAACTATTGCATTTCTACTGACCTGTTCTTTAAACTAATTTACTAATATACTTCAGCAAGCTCTGCTTTCATACCTTCATATTTGCCCACAGTGTCTCAGGCCCACTCCTTTCTCTCCCTCAAACTGCAAGTAAAATTCAACTGTGGTACTGGCTACCTAAAGATGTTTTCACTAGGAGATCATTAATTAATCCATCTCATTGCACAATACCACATTTAGTATAGGCTTCTCCCTGATTATTTCTAGAATGTGCTATTCAAAGGAACTATTCTGAAAGCATTCAATTAACTCCTCATCTAGGCTACTTCTGTCCATCTGACATTTCTAGGTGCTACGTAGATTAGAATCTCCATTCATTACCACTGTGCCTTTCTGATAAGCTCTTGTTATTTTGTCCTTTATACTCCGCTTACTGTTAGGCACTTGTACACCACTGTCACAAGAGACTTCTTGCCTTTACCCTTTCTCATTGCCACCCAAACTGTAACCACATCTGGATTTCCTGAACTTAGATCATAGAGTTAGAGTAATGCAGCATGGAAACAGGCGCTTCAGCCCAAACTGGTCCATGCTGACCATGGTCCCCACTCAGCTAGTTCCAACTGCCCGCATTTGGTCCATATCGATCTAAATCCTTCTCATCCATGTACCTATCCAAAAGCTTTTTAAATGTAGTTATTGTACCTGCCTTAACCACTTTCTCTGGCAGCCCATTCCATATTCGCACCACTCTGCATGAAGAAGTTGCCCCTCAGGTCCTCCTTAAATCTATCCCCTCTCACATTAAGCCTATGCCCTCTCATTTTCAATTTCCTATCCCTGGTAAAAAGACGATATGCATTCATCCTATCCACGCCCCTCTTGATTTTGTACACCTCAACAAAGGTCACCCCTCATTCTCCCACCTTCCAAGGAATACAGTCCTATCCTGGTCAACCTTTCCCTATAACTCAGAGCCTACTAGTCCTGGCAACATCCTTATAAACTAGAAAGTGAGCAAAGAAGATTTAACTATGTCTTTCCTATAACAGGGTGACCAAAACTATACACAATACTCCACGTGCAGCCTCACCACCAACTTGTACAACTGTAACATAACATCCCAACTCCTGTACACAATGCCTCGACCAATGAAGGCCAGCATGCTAAATGCCTTCTTCACCACTTTGCCCATCTGTGATACCGCTTTCAACGAACTTTGTACTTGTACTCCTAGGTCCCTCTGTTCCATAACACTCTTCAGTACCTTACCATTTACTGTATAACTCCTACTTTGGTTTGGCTTTCCAAAGTGCAACACCTCACACTTATCTGTATTGAACTACACTTGCCAATCCTCAGCCCCGTTTTCTATCTGATCAAGATCCTGCTGTAATTTTTGATAACATCCCTCACCATCAACATTACCTCCTAATTTTGTATCATCCGCAAACTTACCAACCATGCATTGTACATTCAGATCCAGATTATTTATGTAAATAACAAATAACAACCCTGTGGTACACCACTAGTCACAGGCCTTCGCTCCAAGAGCCAACTCCCCCTCCCACTCCTTGGACGACATGTCCATCCTGGGTCTTCTGCATTGCCACAATGACGCCACCTGAAGGCTGCAGGAACAGCATCTCATATTTCGCTTGGGAACCCTGCAGCCCAAGGGTATCAATGTGGACTTCACAAGCTTCAAAATCTCCCCTCCCCCGACCGCATCCCAAAACCGGCCCAGCTCATCCCCGCCTCACTAACCATTCCTCCCACCTCAAGCCCCACCCCCATCTCCTACCCACTAACCTCATCCCACCCCCTTGACCTGTCCGTCCTCCCTCGACTGACCTATCCCCTCCCTAACTCCCCACCTACACTCACCTTTACTGGCTCCACCCCTGCCTCTTTGACCTGCCTGTCTCCTCTCCAGCTATCTTCTCCTTTATCCATCTTCTATCCGCCTCCCCCTCTCTCCCTATTTATTTCAGAATCCCCTTCCCCTCCCCCATTTCTAAAGAAGGGTCTCGACCCGAAACGTCAGCTTTCCTGCTCCTCTGATGCTGCTTGGCCTCTTGTGTTCATCCAGCTCTACATCTTGTTATCTTGGCCTCATCTGATGATCCCTTAAGAATATTCTCTCTTAGAACTGTTATGTCCTCCCTTATCAAAAGGGCAACTCCCCTTCCTCACTTACTTGTACTTCTGTCACACCCGTAGCTTCTCTATCCTGCAACATTGAGCTGCCAGTCCTGCCCTTCTTGCGGCCATTTTTCTGCTATGGCTATAAATATCCCAATCCCCAGAGCCAATCCATGTTCTGAGCTCATCTGCCTTACCAGTCAGGCCTTATGCATTGAAATAAATGCACTTTAAACCAAAAGTCTTTTCCCTCCCTCTACTGTGCCCCTGGCTATCCTGAATAGTAAACTTGCTCTCAATGGCTAATGTATTTGCCCCTGACTTCTCAATGGCTCCTCCCTTATTCAGAGTCTCATCCACCTGCCAAACTAGTTTAAACTCTCCTGGGTAACACTAGCAAATCTTACCACAAGGATACTGGACCCGCTCTGGTTCAAGTGCAACCTGCCCCTCTTGTACAGGTCACCTCTACCCCAGAAGAGATCCCAACGATCCAAGAACTGAAAACCCTGCCTCCTATACCAGCTCCTCAGCTACGCATTCATCTGGCCTATCTTTCTATTTCTATCCTCACTGGCACGTGGCACTGGGAGTAATCAAGAAATCACTACCCTGGAGGTCCTGCTTTTTAACTTCTTACCTAACTCCAGGACCCCAATCCCTTTGTTTGTGTACGTCATTTGTACCAATGTGCACAATGACCTCTGCCTGTTCACTCTCCCCCTTCAGAACGTTCTCAACCGCTCAGACAAGCTTGACCCTGGCACCCAGGAGGCAACACATCATCCTGGGGCCTCTTCTGTGGCCACAAAATCTCCTGTCTGTACCCCTCACAATTTAGTCTCCTTTCAATATTGCTCGGTCTGACTGCATCATCCCTCTCTACTTAGCTCACAGCATCATTAAATAACAAAGCCACATATTTACCTGTTCCTATTTTCCTGTCATTCCTAAATGTCTTCCACACTTCAAGAATTTAGGTCCTGTCAACTTTAGCCCAGAGACGTCCTGAACCCTGGCACCACTCAGACAACACAGATGTCTGGACTTCTTGCTATAGAGAGTGGTGTCAATCCTTCTCACTGCCTTGTTCCTTACTTGACCTACATTTTTCTTACTCTGTTCTCAAGTGGTTTCTTGCATTATGGTGCCATGCTTAGGTAGCTCACCCATCCTGCATCTCTCATGCTCATCCAAACAAGATGAAAGACTCTCAAACCTGTTGGGTAATTGCAATAATTGAGGGTCTTGTGCTCCTGTCCTCTGTGAATGAGGCAGATAAGGAGACCCAGTCACATTCACCTAGCCCTGAACACTTGCCAAATCAGATAATCTAACCCGAAGTGATGTGACTCCCTCCTGGTACAAAAGAATCCTTGATGCATCCTGATGTCTGTTGCTCAGCTTCCAGCTCAAAGTCTGAGCTGAAGCTGCTTGTACTTTAGACATATATTGCTGATACATACTGGACAAAATGGATATCAATGTTGCAACTGTGACTCATTAGCTGTCCACCCAAGTTTAACATGTTCTAAGGAACTATTTAATTATTGTACTTAGCTTTATATTTATTTATGTTCTTATGTATTTTGTTAATCTGATTAACAGCTGTTATACCAATTTGAAGCTCAGGAGTTGAATAAACCTTAATCACTTACCAGATGCTCACCAATTAACCAGCTCATTCTCCTGTAGCAGAGCAAGAATCAATTCCTGGAAGCTGAAAATGTTTAGGCAAAAACAACCAAAAAAAAAGCCTTCATTTGACTCCAGCACTCTATTGTAAGTCACACTCAGCACTAAGTTGCACGAAGTTGACTGGCTTTATAAGCTCTTAAGTGAGTCTGATGGGCTGAAGTGTTAAGGGGAATCCAGTTTCAGTTAATTCTTAATTGAGTTGCTTTTTCACTGGAACTCTTGGAAAAAACCCTTAAGGTTGGTAATTACTGAATTTAAGTGTAGATTTCAGTTTAATGTCAACCACAAATTAAATTGGATTCCTTCAAAATAAAAATTTAGACTTTCTTAGCCAGCAACTACATGCACTTAGTCCTCAACAAAGATAAGACTAACTGCTTGGGTGTTAAAATTATGAGGTTCAAATGATCTTTTTGTACAATTTTAGTATTTATAATAGTTCACATTTGAACTACAGCATCTCAAATGATTTCATACATTAATGCTAATTGCGTGCCAGTAACATTATAGATGTGCTTATTTTATTGGAATAACACTGGTTCTTCATGATCCCATTGCTTGAACAGCAAAATAATAGTTAATTTTTTGTTGAAGAAAAGTTTTGATTACTTACGAAGTTTTACATTCTCTGACTTGAAGCAATCTGATCTATTTGGTTGGATAAGAGGAGCAAATGAAACAGCCAATATATTTTTGGTTTCCCATGTGTTTTGTCCCGTGCGTATTATCTGAGTAAGCTGTATTGAAGGACGACATTTGATAAGTGATACAAGTTCATAAACAGAGGTACACATAAATCTCATTTAGGATATAGAAAACACAGTGCTTTGTGATCCACTGTTACTACAAACGTGCAAGCAGTCTCCACTGCTAAGCTCTAGTTTTGTTTTTGCTCTACATGCCTACGAATGCAAAGCAGATTTTTGGCAACACAGATTCACTTAAGCAACAGATATTCTGAACTCTGCAACATACTGTTGAGGCAAGCTTGGATATGCTATTATTATTGATACTAGTGTCTACATTTCTAACTCAACAGACTCGCTATTGAGCTAACAAGGGTGGCACAGTAGCTCAGTGGTTAGCACTGCTGCCTCACAGCGCCAGGGACCCGGGTTTGATTCCAACCTTGGGCGACTGTCTGTGTGGAGTTTGCACATTCTCCCTGTGTCTGTGTGGGTTTCCTCCAGGTGCTCCGGTTTCCTCCCACAGTCCAAAGAAGTGCAGGCTAGGTGGATTGACCATGCTAAATTGCCCGTAGTGTTCAGGGATGTGTAGATTAGGTAGGTTATAGATCTGGGTGGGATGCACTGAGGTTCAGTGTGGACTTGTTGGGCCGAAGGGCCTGTTTCCACACTGTAGGGATTCTATGAATAACAGTTGTATTAAAACTAACAAATGAGGAAGAAATGCCTTCAGGCAAAAGATGAGGCAAGAGTAGTCATATCCTACCTAAGTAAAAATATTTTATAATGCTTATCTCCACATTTTTTGGCATAGACCAAATGTTTAGGTAAACGGTGATTTTTCACTTTGGTACAGTAGTTGATTCGGGACTCCAAAGTACAGCGTGAATATGATCTGATAACAACTATTCCATCAATATAGTTCTTCTTCCAACACAATTCCCAAATTAATTGCCAGGCAAGTTTACTGGAAATTAATGATAAATTACAGTCTGACTTATTCTGTCAATGTACATCAATAAGAACTGAATGCGGACAGCCTCTCTCTTTTTTAAGACAGAAACCTCAGATTATGGCAATCTGGATTTCAATTTGTCTCCAATCATGGGGACAATGGGTTCAAATCTCAAACGTAATCCTGGAGAAGTTCTGATAATCTACTTTTCAAGATCATTATTTCTTAATTTTCATCCTTTTCCAATGTATTACAAGTAGTCAACAGTGTTTGCCTAATGTGTTCCCCTAATAGGGAGGCTCTGCACTCAAGGCCACTCATTCAGAAAAATTAGCTGATAATTCATTAAGTTAAAGGTTTTAAATAGCAGAAATCAGATTTTTTTGAAGTCAAGAACATAAACAAACAAACAGTCTAGTCGTTTGGATAACAAGGTAGAATGTTCATGTTGTGCTCAGTTTGTCCAGCACTTCCTGTTTTATTTGAGATTTACAGCATCTGCAGTATTTGGTTTGTAAATCTATTAGTTTGTGTTAGATTTGAACTCTGATCTCATAGGCAAGAAGCTTTGACTGAACTGTATGCATTCTAATGTGTTAAAGACTGAATTAATGACAGACAATGAAATGGGTTAATAAATTGCTGAATATCACTCTAAAGGTTAACATCACCTGATCTTCCATAGGCATAACAAGAATTCCACCAACTTTAAGAAAAATTTTCATGTAATTCTCATGGTCCTTTTGGACTCCGGCTCCACAATACACACGGTCATACTGTAGACTGTCTGACAAAACATCTAAGCAGTTCCCAACCACAAATACTGGCTCACAAAATTCAAACCTAGGATTTAAAAATAAATATTTAAAAACAACGATAACATGTTACTACATATTTTGTAAATGGATACAAGCTTGGCACTAGACCATATGTACAACCACTCCCATTTTACAAGTGGCTCTAGCCAAAACATGGCAGAACAACATCAATACTTTTGACATGCAGAACGGCAGTTTTTTTTTAAGCAAGTAAAAATGAAGTTAATGACCTTCAATCTATTTTTTACAAATAACTAAAATAATGAGAACAGGTAGGAGACAGAAGGAAGTGGTAGAGGATTGCTTTTCTGTCTAGAGGCCTGTGAACCAGTGGTGTGCCACAAGGATCAGCGCTGATTCCACTGCTATTCATCATTGATAGAAACAATTTGGATATGAATATGGGACGTACGATTAGTAAGTTAGATCACACCAAAATAGGTGTAGTGGACAATGAAGATTATCTCACAGCACAATGGGACCTTGATCAAATGGGCCAATGGGAGTGGCAGATAGATAAATGTGACATGTTGCATTTTGGTAAAATCAGATCAGGGCAGGACTTAGACAGTTAATGGTGGGGCACTGGAGAGTGTTGCTGAACAAAAAGACCTGGGGTGCAGGCGCATTGAAAGTGGAGTTGCAGGTAGACAGGGTGAAGGCGACAGCATTTGTCATGCTTACCTCCATTTGTCAGAACACCGAGTATAGGAGTTGGGATATCATGTTGCAGCTACACAAGACATTGTTGCGGCCACTTTTAGAATTATAGCATATAATTCTGGTCGCCCTTGTATAGGCTGTTAAACTTGAGAAAGTACAGAAAAGATTTACAAGGATATTTACAAGGATGTTGCTGGGACAGGAGGGTTTGGGATAAAGAGAGAGGCTGAATAGGCTAGGGCTTTTCTCCCCTGGAACATTGGAGGCTGAGGGGTGACCTTACAGAGATTTATAAAATCATGAGGGGCATGGAGAGGGTGAATAGCCAAGGTCCTTTTCCTAGGGTGGGGTAGTCCAAAACATCAGGGCATAGGTTCAAGATGAGAGGGCAAAGCTTCAGCAAGGACCCAAGAGGCCACTTTTTCATGCAGAGTGTGGTGCGTGCATGGAACGAGCTGCCAGAGGAAGTGGTAGAAGTGGTAGAAGTGGGTACAATTATAACATTTAAATGGCATCTGGATGGGTACATGAATAAAAAGGGTTTAAAAGGGATATGGACCAAATGCTGGCAAATGGGACTGGGTCTGTTCATTCTGTACTGAATTTTGTTTCAAGAAGGTATCTGACAACATAGAGGCCGTAGACAGTTTGACAGAGGTGGTGAAGTAGTACTGATTCTCACCAGCCATTGCAGAAATTGCACAGTATTTTCGGATGCTACTGCCAAGGGACAGCCCGAAAGTGAGAAATGGAAGTTCAAGCGTAGATTCTTGGGGGACAGCAGAGATTCCAATACAGAAATGGAAAGAGGAGCCCTGGATGATTTCTTTGGCTATGATTAGCTGGATTAGAATGGAACCGGATGGATGTAACAATGGTAACAATTCCTAAGGATGACTGCTGCCTGTAGAATGAAATTTAATGGAAGGTAACACGGAACTCTAGATTATCAGTAGCAGGGAAAATAATATAATCCATTATAAAGGATTTGATAACTGGGCACTTCAGAAATAATGATCTGATTGAGCAGGGTAAACAAAATTACAAGAGGAAATGTTTGACAAGCAAGTTATAATAGATGAAGGGGAAACCAGATGCAATATGTTTGGATTTTCAGAAGGCTTTTGATAAAGTTCCACACAGGACATTAATAGATAAAATTACAGCACATGGGGTAGGGGTGAATATACATGGATTGAGAATCGGTTAATGGAAATAAAACAAAGAATGATATTTTTTAAAAATCAGGTCATTCTTAGGTTGGCAGGCATTGCAAAATGCAAGGATTAATGCTGGTGTCCAGGTTGTTCATGATCTACAATGATTTGGCTGTCGGGGCCAAGTGTAATATTCCAAGTTTATGGATGACAAAATTATGTGGGAATGTATTTTCAGGATGATGCAAAGAGGCTTCAAGGAGATTTCAGCAGGATAATGGAGGTGGCACAAACATGGTAAATGCAACATAATGCAGACGTTAATTTTGCTAAGAGGAACGAGAACTGCAGAGTATTTCTTAAATGGTGAGAGATTGATAAATAATGACATCTGAAGGGACCTGGATATGTTTGCAGATGAAGTAAGTAATTAGGAAGGCAAGCATACATATGCAATTATCACAAGACAACTTGAAAAGCGGAGTAAATATGTCTTGTTCTACTGAATAGAATCTTGATGCAAATACATCCAGAACCGTGCACAACGTTTCGGTCTTCTTACCAAAAGGAAGGATAAAATTGCCATTGAGAGAATGTGCAGCAGAGGTTCATGAACCTAATTTGTGGGACGGAGGGATTGTCCAATGAGGTGAGATGGAGAAGAGTATGCCTATATTCTTGACAGTTCAGGAGAATGAGAAATGTTCATACCGTAGTTTACAAAATTCTTAAATGGACAAGACAAGGTGGATGAAGACAGGATATTTCCCCTGGCTATGCAGGTTTAGAACCACAGGTTGGAGTCTCAGGAGAAGCCTTTTCAGACCAAGAACGAGGAGAAATTTCTCCACACCTGAAGCTCGGGCTACTGCTTTAAAGATGTCAGTATAAATCCCACATGGTGAAATTGGAATTAAAAATTTTAAAAATGCTCGTCTAATGGTAACCACTAATTTTGACTGTTGTAAAAGCCTGTCTGACTCACGAATGTCCTTTAGGGAAGGAAATTTTACTGATACGACCTCCATTTTTTGTTGTTCATTTCTGAAAAACGCAAGATAGAACACAGAACATAGAACAGTACAGGCCCTTCGGGCCACGATGCTGTGCCAACCTATTATCCTACTATGATCAAACTACTCTGCATACCCTACATTATACTATCATCCATGTGCCTATCCAAGATTCGCTTAAAAGTCTCTAAAGTATCTGACTCCAATACCACAGCCGGCAGCGCATTCCACATGCTCACCACTCTCTGTGTGAAGAACCTACCTCTGACATTTCCCCTGTACCTTGCTCCAATCACCTTAAAATTATGCTCCCTCGTAATAGTCATTTCCACCCTGGAAAAAAGTCTCTGACTATCCACTCTATCTATGCCTCTCATCATCTTGTACACCTCTATCAAGTCACCTCTCATCCTTCTTCACTCCAATGAAAAAAGCTCCCTCATTCTTTTCTCATGAGGCCTGCATTCCAGTCCAGGCCAGGCAGCATGGTAAATCTCCTCTGCACCCTCTCTAAAGCTTCCACATCTTTCCTGTAATAAAGCGACCAGAACTGAACACAATATTCCAAGTGATGTCTAACCAGGGTTTTACAGAGCAGCAACATAACCTCGCAGCTCTTAAACTCAATTCCCCTGCCAAATGAAGGCCAACACACTATACGCCTTCTTTAAAACTCTATCAACTTGGATAGCAAATTTGAGGGATCTATGGACGTGAACCCCAAGATCCCTCTGTTCGTCCACACTGCCGAGAATCCTGCCATTAATCCTGTATTCTGCATTCTGCATTCAAATTCGACCTTCCAAAATGAATCACTTCACACTTCCAGGTTGAATTCCATCTGCCACTTCTTTGCCCAGCTCTGCATCCTGTCAATGTCCCGTTGCAATCTACAACAGCCCTCCATGCTATCCACAACTCCACCGACCTTCGTGTCATTGACAAACTTACTAAACCCACCCTTCCACTTCCTCGTCCAAGTCATTCTAAAAATCACAAAGAGCAGAGGTCCCAGAACAGATCCCTGCGGAACACCACTGGTCGCCGAGCTCCTGGCTGAATACTTTCTATCTACTACCATCCTGTCTTCTATTGGACAGCCAAATTCTCCTGAATCCCATGCCTCCTTACTTTCTGAATGAGCCTACCATGGGGAACCTTATCAAATGCCTTGTTAAAATCCATATACACCACATCCACTGCTCTGCCTTCATCAATGTGTTTTGTCACATCCACAAAGAATTCAATAAGGCTTGTGAGGCATGACCGGCCCCTCACAAAGCCATGCTGACTATTTCTAATCAAACTGTGCTTTTCCAAATAATCATAAATACTATCTCTCAGAATCCTCTCCAATAATTTGCCCACCACAGAAGTAAGACTGACCAGTCTGCAATTCCCAGGATTATCTCTATTCCTTTTCTTGAACAAGGAAATGACATTTATCACCCTCCAATCATCTGGTACTACTCCAGTGGACAGTGAGGACACAAAGATCATCAGCAAAGGGGCAGTAACCTCTTCCCTTGCTTCCCGTAGTAACCTTGTGTATATCCCGTCTGGCCCAGGGGGACTTATCTATCGTCATGTTTTTCAAAATTTCTAGCACATCCTCCTTCCCAACATCAACCTGTTCAAGCATATCTGCCTGTTTCATGCTGTCTTCACACTGTCTTCACAAATGTCAGGGTCCCCCTCACTAGTGAATACTGAAGCAAAGTATTCAATAAGGACCTCCCCTACCTCCTCGACTCCACGCACAAGTTCCCTCCACTATCCCTGACTGGCTCTATCCTCACTCTGGCCATCCTCTTGTTCCTCACATAAGCATAGAACGCCTTGGGCTTTTCCTTGATCCTACCCACCAAGGCTTTTTCATACCCCCTTCTAGCTCGCAAGTCCATTCTTCAGTTCCTTCCTGGCTACCTTGTAGATCTCTTATAGCCCTGTCCAATCCTTGCTTCTGCAACCTTAAGTAAGTTTCCTTCTTCCTCTTGACTAGATGTTCCACATGTCTTGTCATCCAAGGTTCCTTCATCTTACCATCCCTCCCTTGCCTCAGTGGGACAAACCTATCCACCACACGTAGCATGTGCTCCCTAAACAACCTCCACATTTCTGTCGTGCATTTCCCTGAGAACATTTGTTCCCAATTTATCTCCACAGTTATTGCCTAATAGCATTGTAATTCCCCCTCCCCCAGTTAAATACTTTCCAATACCATCTGCTCCTCTCCCTCTCCATGACTATAGTAAAGGTCAGGGAGTTGTGATCACTATCACCAAAATGCTCTCCCACCAAGAGATCTGACACCTATCCTGGGTCATTGCCAAGCACCAAATCCAATATGGTATCCCCTCTAGTCGGCCTATCTACATATGGAGTCAGAAATCCTTCCCGGACACACCTGACAAAATCTGCTCCATCAGAACTATTTGCACTTAGGAGGTTCCAGTCTATATTAGGTAAGTTGAAGTCACCCATGACAAGAACCCTATTACTTCTGCACCTTTCCACAAACTGTCTCCCAATGTGTTCCTCAGTGTCTCTGTTGCACTGAGCGGGGTGGGTCTATAGAAAACTCCCAGTAAAGTGACTGCTCCTTTCCTGTTTGACTTCCACCCACGCTGACTCAGTAGACCATCCCTCCTCCATGGCTTCCCTTTCTGCAGCTGTGATACCATCCCTGATTAGCAATGCCACTCCCCAACCTCTTTTACCTCTCTTCCTATTTCTTTTGAAACATCTATACCCCAGAACATCCAAAAACTATTCCTGTCAGTGTTATCCAAGTCTCCGTAATGGCCACAACATCATAGTTCCAAGTCCTGATCCATGCTCTAAGTTCATCATCCTTATTCCTAACACTTCTTGCATTAAAGATCTAGAATGGTGGTACAGTCTTGAGGAGTTCAGGGTCAGCTCCTGCTCTTACTTGAATGCACACCTGGCCAACTTCCACATCTATCTTCCCTAAATTTGAGATCATCAAAAGCTCTCCTACCCATGTTCCAACTTGTACTAAATGCCGTCCAACAATCCTCTGGTCGCTCACCTATAATGGCTCCCAGTTTGGCTTTTTTTTTTAAAATGCTTATCTTGGCTTCAAATCTTTCAACAATCTGGCATCTTGCTAATAATTATAATATCTCGTCCAGTCTTAAATCGCTCAGATTGTTGCACTCCCTGTTCCGATGCAATCCACATTTAGGCCATGTTTTAAAACCCACTTCTATGACTCGGCTTCCAGTCATTTTACATAATTTGTTCTTATGTTGCTTGGTCTAATTTTATAACACCCAAGTGCAGCACTTTGTGATGTTTAAGGATTCTAAAGATACGTTACAAATACAAGTTGCTGTTTTTGCTAAATCCTCAAGTTCTTCCTCACAAAACAACAAAATAAAACGTTGTACTTCTATTTCTGGGTCAAGACTATATCTCAGGATATTGCCATAAGAACATTGTGTAATAATGTCCTTTCACACAAAGGCTACTGTCAAAGACCACAGAATTTGTGTGAAACCAAACACAAAGATTATTCAACAAAAAAAAAACACCACATAATGCGGGTGTACTCAGATCTGGGAGAAAAAACAACATATCTTATTAGAACTTGGGAGAACAAAATCTGAGGAAAATAAGTTCAAATAACTCCATACTTACTTATCAAAACTGTCACTGTTTTTTATAAAATTGTCCAACTTCTCTGTTGCATAATCTACTACATCAGCATGAATCTCAATTCCATGGTTTATCCCAAAAGGGCCTAGACAGCAAAGAATTATAAAGAAATCAGAAGACTGGAACCCATAATACATCATGCAACAATCATGTTTCACAACACAATCTAAATCTGGATCAGAAAAGTCAATTAGTCTATTTAGCTCATTAGTTAAGAACAAACAAAATTTCTGACCTTTTAAAAAAAAATCACCTTGACTCAGTACTAGTGCGTTTAGAGTTGGAGGTTGTGAATTAAAGACCACTGCAAGACTTGAACAAATAATTCAGAATGACACTTCCGTGCAACAACTTAGTGAGAATGGCATCGTGAGGGGAACGTTTTTCTAAAAAAAGTGCAAGACGTTAAACTGAGGTTCCATCAATGTTCTCAGATGGACTTTTAAAGAGACACTGGAGTCATTTTCAAAATAAGGTGAAATTCTTCTAGTTCTCTGACCAATGTTTATTTCTCAAGTCAACACCAACAAAAATAAATCAAGTTAGTCAGGGGTGAAGAAAAATGAGCTGCTCCAACATAACCACATTGACTAAAACAAAAAAAGTGTTCACTTGTTATTAATGACTTTGGAAAAGGATAAAAGGTTTTATCAAAAATGTAATTTGACCCTGTCTGACTCTACTGCCCTGTCCTAATCCTCACATTCATAACTTCCCCAGGAATACTGACATCATTCACAACAGGTTAGAAAACAAAGTGAATTGGAGGAGTGCATATGACTAAATAAAAGCTAGTTAATAGCACAGGGGATTTTTGAATGAAGATATATAATCAAATCAAAATATATAACATCAGTCATGAAAAAAATCTGTGTGCGTCTCTTACTGTGATTTGACACCACTATTACTGCATATGTCCTGTCCCTCTGGTGGAGTAGATCCATCAGGGTCAATGCCACAGTCAATAAAGCTGGAAGGGAGTTGCCTGGAAGTCCTCAACATTGTCGCCGCACCCCATGAAATCTCATGGCATCAGGTCAACCATGAACAAGGAAACCTCTGCTGATGCCCATGAACCACCCTGCTCAGCTCAGAATTCAGCGTTCCTCTACGTTGAGCACCAACTGGTGGAAGTACTGAAGGTGACAAACGCACACATATATTCTGCGTGAGGGAATTCAACGCCCACTACCAAGAGAGCTTGACGGCACTACTACTGATGAGATTGGTCAAGTCTTTTTTGACTAAATCTGGAGTAGGTGGTGAGGGAAGTAACCATATTGGAGAAGTCTTATTCACCTCATTCTTACCACCCTGCTTGCTGCAGTTGTGTGTCATGAAAACATCAGTAGGAGCAGCACGGTGGCTCAGTGGTTAGCACTGCTGTCTCACAGTGCCAGGGACCTGGGTTTGATTCCATCCTCAGGCGACTGTCTGCGTGGAGTTTGCACATTCTCCCCGTGTCTGCGTGGGTTTCTTCCAGGTGCTCTGGTTTCCTCCCACAGTCCAAATATGTGCAGGCTAGGTGGATTGGCCATGCTAAATTGCCCATAGTGTTCAGTAAGGTGTAAAATAGGTAGGTTATAGATCTGGGTGGGACGCACGGAGGTTCGGTGTGGACTTGTTGGGCCGAAGGGCCTGTTTCCACACGATAGGGATTCTGTGATTCTGAGAGTCATCACCACACCACAGTTCCTGTAGAGACAAAATCCCATCTTCACATTGAGAAAACCCTCTAGCATATTGTATGGCACTACCACTAGATGGGTCAGACTGCAAATAGAGTTAGCAAATCCAAGATTGGACTGCCATTTGGCATTCTAAGCTTTCAGGACCAGCAGAATTATATACACACCACAGCTAGAGGACAGGATAACCCAGATACTCAAGAAACATAAATATGCAGGAGAGATCACTAATATCGACTACGTCAGCACGAAACCAAGATGGGTCAAACAGCCCCCTGCTTCTAGGGACTCCCCAAGCTTCTCAGACCAATAGTCTCCTTACCAGGCACACCTACACAAAAGCAAGCGAGGGAATTACAACAGAGACTTAAACACCTAATTAGCAGATCCCCACAGCCCAAGAATTTCTCACATAGCTCAGGGACACAAAAATTGACAAGGACGAAATCATGATCTCCTTCGATGTCACAGCACTACTTACATCCACTGACATACCGTTAGCCAGAGAGACACTAGTCACACTACTGGAAGGACCAGGAGCACTGACCCTGAACACCAGCAACAACATCAGCAAGGACAAATTATTGAAACTACTAGATTTATGCCTCACAATGCACTTCAAGTTCAATGGTCAAATATACAAACAGATCAACAGCGCACCGATGGGATTATCCATCTCAGGTCTCATCGCAAAAGCAGTGATGCAGAGACTGGACATACAGCCCTTCCTATAATCCAATCGATAAGTTACACGGATGACACATTCGTAATAATCAAATGCACAAAAGTAAAAGAAACCCACCAATTTGATAACAGCATCTTTGCAAGCATAAAATTCACTAGAGAGAGGATGAAAACAACACACAGCTCCCATTCTTAGATATAATGGTAGAGAGATTAACAGTGATTCCAGACCAGAATGTACAGGAAGGTCACACACGGACCAAATTCTTTAATAAGCAACCACACCAACATACACAAATGCTGCATTAAGACACTATTTAAACGAGCCATCTCACACTGCAACACTCCAGAACTCCAGAGAATCGAAGAGGAACACCTGCAAAAAGTATTTACTGACAACAGATACCCAAGATGTTTCATCTGCTGATGCCTACAAAAACAAACAAACAGTTAGAGGACAAGGTAGAACAGAAGACACTAGTAACTCTACCCTACATCAAAAATATATCGGAAATGACAACCAGACTCCTTAGACCGTGTAGGATCACGATTGTACATAAACCTACAATCAACACCACGTCAAATGCCAAAGACCCCATACCAACAGTAAACAGGATATACAGAATCCCATGTAGCGGGTGTAACACACATTAAATTGGTCAAACAGGGAAGAAACTAACGACCAGGATAGTTGAACACCAGCTGGCAGTAAAAAGACATGAGCAATACACACAGACAATGAAGGCCACGAGTTCGACTGGGACAAAGTGACTATACTGGGACAAGTGAACAACAGACATGCAAGGGAATTTCTGGAGGTCTGTTTCTCAACACGGGACTCCATTAACTAACACATTGAAATAGACCCCGTATACAGACCACTGCTTTAAAAAAAAAACAGAATCAGAAGTGATGAGACCCACCACACCAGAGGATCATATAAATTCGGAATTGAGCAGAACACCAGTGCTTCAATTAGAAGTTGCACAGATGATGTTGCCTAGAATAGTAACGAAACGTCTGCACACCATGGAACAATTGGATCGGCGAGCAAACAACCACAGAATTATACACAACCTAAACCTGTAATCTGATGAATATATAATCCCACTTTAGCACTGATGTTATGCTGGAAGATTGATCCGAGTTCAGTGAAGAGAGGAGGCGGGCATACCATAAACAACATCTGACATACCTATGACTGAAGTGTCAACCTGGTGAAGCTACATCCCATGACCAAATGGATTAGATACAAGCTCTGCAGTTTTGCCAGTCATGAACAGTGGTAGACAGACCACAAATATCTCCATCTTCAATGATGGGGAAGGCCAGCACACCAGCCAGAAGTGCCAAGTGAACAATTCCTCAGTGTCCTCCAGAGGTCCTCAGCATCATAGATGCGTTCTTCAACCAGATTAATTTATTTCACAAGAAATTAATAAACAGTTGGCAGCACTGG